GAGAAAAAAAATCCTCCATTATGGAAACTACCCATTTTTTTTTCAGGATAAGTGGTTGTTGCTATGGTTATTGTGATCAACTCTGTGGCGAGTATTTGTATTGCTAAAAAAAAATTTGTGCCATCAGTTTTTGCGCTCTTTCAAAGTATAATTAGGGACGGATAACTAAAATGAGGAAAATAGCCGAGCTTTTTTTTTTGCAATGGCAGCGAAATAGAGGTTCAGCTTACATGAACCAATACCCTGTTATTTCATTCAGATCGAAGAGACTGAATTCTGTTGTTATCGTCCCTGAGGAATCCTGGTAACTGGTCGTGATAAAAATTGCAAGTCTGATATAAGTTGACTAGCCTAATCCGAATCAAGTGACACCTTACCGCAAGAGCCGCCATAGTTAATGACTTCTGAGGTTGACACACAGCCCCCTGCAACCCCGCCTCCCAGAGAGAAAAATACTGGTAAACTGTATTTTTTCCAAAGCTGCGTTTATTGATTTGGGTTGAAATATTCACTTTATCAGCGATGCACCCATTTACGGAGACTTAATAAAAACAAAACAAACAAACAAACAAACAAAAGATAGATAAATGAATTTCCAAAAGTTCGTCGAAACCGACCAGGGTGAATAATCGTGCACTGAGAGAGTACTCCATAGCTCTGCATTTCCGGTTTAAAACAACTCCTTTTGTCATGCTCCCCCACCCCAGCCCCCTTAGAGAGCAAGTACGGAAATATAAGTCCTCACTTGAATTGCCTCAATTTGAATACATTTACATATGTTTAAAATACAGCCTTCAAAAGTTTGGATTCGTTTATGTAAATTACGTAAATGAACGCAAAAACTCCGGGAAAAAAACGTCTCAAATAAAACAAAGACTATAGGAGCCAAAAACACCTTAAAACCTAATGCTTTGAATATCGCATATTGAATTTAAGTTTTTATATGATCTGGGATGTGCAAAATGGTTAAGCGATACGCTCCAGTCCCTGAATGGAATCCTGACCAAGGGTAGACAAGAAGATTCATATAAGAGTTGACTAAGAATAGAAACGGTAGAAACATCTAAGAGATTAAAATGAAAAGCAATGCATTTTGTCGCTTCTGGAAAACTAAGTAACGATACAAGGGCAACTATTAATGGGTTTCCGGAAGGTCTTCTTTCTCTTGGAGTGGAACGAAAAAAGAACGACGATGATGACTGAATTAACCTATCATTTTTCCCCTTTAATGTTATATATTCTCAGTTACTAACCGACAGCTTTTAAAAGAGAAGATTTTTTAAGTTTTTTTTGCCATCTTTTTTTTTTGAAGGCTTCAAATTTCCTTCAAGCAATTGAGATCAGAAAAAGTTTTATATTATTAAATTCGTCTTTATCGAAGGGAAAACAAAATATAGTACATGGTTACTTGTAGATATGGAATTTCTCTTCTCGTTTTCAACTAGACATCTACGCGCGCCCATGTATTACTGTTTATTCATAACAAGCGCGATTGAGAAAAACGGCACTGTTACGTGCTTTGCGGACAGCTTTTAAGAAAGTAGCATTTTTACTCGCCTTCAATTTGAGTAATACAATAAAATTGATATAACCATGAACATTCTGGTATGACATGATCATCTTACTTGTGCACCTTTATATGATCAATGAATTAAATATTTTTCGATTTTTCGTTGGAAGTCATAATTAAATTGATTTTCTAAAGATAATCTTTTTTTCATAATCATTTTTTGTTCTTATTCATTGTTTCGAAAATAAACGATTTTGTCTCAAAAGTTATAATATATTCAGCAATGAACCTTTGTCAGGAACAATGCACGGAACAAAAGGCATAACATCACCAAGCTGCGTTCATAATAATTATAAGCTCCAATGATTGGAAGAATCTTATCAGCAAATTTAAATTCAAATGATCTTTATCAGAGACCGTGAAAAAGTGAATGACGTGATGGAGTTTGAACTCAGAAATAAAGGCTCACGCTTCTTGACTGCGCATGCGTATTCGAGTCAAACTGTTAAGAGAGTTTGATTAATGTAACTTCTGGAAAAAAAAATTGCTTCATTAACTATTCTAATCCCTAAAAATTGATGAAAATCTCTGTAAATCTTACTGAATCGTTTAGTTCCCTTCCGTCCCAATTCAAGTTAAGCTAGGATTGATTATTAAAAGTTGGCATAAATAACCTTACTCAAGTGTTTTGAAGGAATTTGTTCCCCTCTAACGTCATCGAGAATGTTGTAAGAAAATTTCATAACAATAACTTCCCCTCCGACTCTTTTCAGAGTGCTGCTCATAGGACAAATTGTTTGCATTTTAAATTACCGTACATCGGTCCTTTTTCCATCACAGCGCAACGCAGAATTAAGAAATTAGTCAGCACATTTTGCAGTGACCTTGACATTTAGTTGGTGTTCACCCGTTTAAAATTTAGAGTTGGTTCGGGGCTGCCCTGTTCAGCTCATTGTGTTCTGTTTTTTGTGGGAGACTCGTTTCTCCCATAAAGTCTTTCTTTTATTTAGGAGTATGAATGGTTAACCACGGATAGACAGGGGAATCTGAAGAAATGGAATGGGAAAAATATACAACTGCATCTTTCATTTTCTTCAAGCGAATTAGTTTTTGGATCCTGTCAGGCGCCATGATGGCAGCCACGATTTTCGCTCTCCGCAATTTGTGTCTAATTCAGCTGCTGTGTTCCGGTTTTTTAAGTTTATTTCACCAGGTCGGTACTGCTAGGGAACGTGCTTAATAACCAGCCCTCTGTTGGATACCGAGGTTACATGTTATTTGCCGCAGAGATTTTCCGAGTTACAACCCAAGTCGACCGATCGTTAGCTGGAACAAACGCGGCTTCGTGTGCCTATCCCTGTCTGCCTCTGATCTAACTATCTTTATGGACTTTGAAAGAAATCCTGGTCCTTGTTGTTCCTTGTTAAAGGCCCATTTTACTACAAGCTCTTACAATGTTCGTGGACTTGACCTGGGACATCAGAAGCATTATCGACCTTCTTGCATATCTTACGAGAGGAACCGGTTACTGTCTCTTCGTCATTGGAGTAAGCACTACTGTTCGCCTGAATTTCTGGGGAAGTTAAAATCTTTGGATCTTTTGAGATACCGGGGGAAGCGTGCTGGAAGGTTGAATAAGCAAAAATCAACGGGAAATGGTCTTAGGATTCCTGTGATTTGTTCTGGTCGTCGCCATTACCGTGTTTCATTAAATATTCAAAATGCCACTTCAACGTTACAAATCTGTGAATCACGCCCTTTAGGTGTCAATGTGAACAACTTAATTTGTATTCGTCCGGATCCATTGCGGTCTAAGTTATCGACCGTTGTACCTTTGGATTTTTGCCTTTTGAATGCTCGATCTATTTGTAACAAGTCTCGGCTGATAAATGATTTCATAGCTGATCACAATATCGACCTCTTTGCCCTGTCAGAGACGTGGCTTCGTGGTGATGACTCGGATTTATATTATTTCCGTGACATTTGTCCAGATGGATATGTTTTCCACCATGTCCTTCGATTACATACTACTGGTGGCGGGGTTGGCATTGTTCTCAAGAATAATATCAAGGCCAAAATTCAAGCACATGAATCCTATTACTCTTTCGAACATCTTGAGCTGGAACTCAGGGCTACGAAGTATTTTGTCTGTTTAATTGTCTTGTACTATCCTCCTTCATCCGATGTGCCACTGTTTTTTGATGAGTTTGCTAGCTATCTTGCCCATATAGTAACGGCATCAGGCTATTTGCTGATTGTTGGTGACTTCAACCTTCATGTTGATTCTCAAAATAATGCTGGTCGGCGATTTACTGGCCTTCTTCATTCATTTAACCTTCGCCAGCACGTAAATGATTCTACGCATAAGAATAGCCATACTCTTGACCTCATTATCACTAGAGAGGAACAATCTTTCATCAAGAATCTCTGGTCTTTGATCCTGCACTTTCTGATCATTTTACGATCCGGTGTAATCTGGATTTTTGTAAACATATTGCTCAAGATCAAATGTTATCTTTTCGACGTTTAAGTGTTATTGGCATGTATAAGTTCTCCGCTGACCTGGAAGAATCCGCGCTAATTAGATCACCTCTAAATGATGACCTTTCATTAGCTATTGATCAATTCAACTCCACTCTGCAATCTATGATCGACAATCATGCCCCAATCATTCGTAGGTCTGGTACTCTTCGCCCTTATGCGCCATGGTTTACAGACGAAATTAAAGTTGCAAAGAGCAAGAGAAGAAAACTGGAAAGACGATGGCGCGCGCATAACACTGAAGCTAATCATCTACTATACACCGATTAAAAAGTTTTTGTCAGTTAGTAGTACTAAGGCGTTAGTACACGCCTTCGTCACATGCAGATAAGACAACTGTAATTCTCTGTTATACGGTCTTCCGAAACATTTAGTTCATAGATTGCAATTAGCCCAGAATTGTGCGGCACGGCTGATCTTATGTGGTCGCAAGCATGATCACGTTACTCCTTTACTGAGGGAACTGCACTGGCTCCCCGTGGAGCAGAGGATTATTTGTAAAATCTTATTTTTTACTTTTAAAGCTTTAAATAATTTATGCCCAAGTTATATCAGTGACTTGTTAGAAACTTATAAGCCTACTAGGTCTTTACGATCATCGAGTAGGAACTTGTTAGTGATTCCTCGCTCCAGGTTGAAATCTTATGGCGATCGCGGCTCTTCTGTCTCTGCACCTAAGCTGTGGAATGACATTCCTGAAACCATAAAATGTAGTGTAGATCTCAACGCTTTTAAGCGTAATCTTAAAACTTATCTTTTTAAGCGTTATTTTTATGAATGATTACGTTTGATTATTTTTATTTTTTACTTTGATTGTGAAGTGCCTTAGAGCTTTTGGATAGGGCGCTATATAAAATTGTCATTTATTTATTTATATTTATTTATTTAATAATTTTTTCATTCCATCACATGATAAGCTAAAACACACACAATTTTATTTTGACTTTACTTTGGCATACAAAGCATACACATATAGGTCAAGCGAAAGATAAAATGTGCTGCCACAGCAGTTACACTCAAAACTAATTCATGCACAACCGATGATCGAATATATTTCAGTGTGCATTACTTACTACAACAAATCATTGTTTTTTCAATAGTGTACTTCACTCTCAAGACGTCTTTCTCTATCTAAAGGTATAGATGGATAACTGCAATCTGAAAGGTTAATCTAATGTTCAACTGAGTTTTTTTCTTTCTGAAACAAAAACCTTCTTATTCTTTTATCAAACCAAAAAGGGAATTTCAGAGTGTACATGTGTTACTAACTACGAGATCATCATTTTCTAGCAGTGTATTTGTCAACAAAATATGAAAACTGGATACCAATACAGAGATGTTGCATGCACAAGTAAACCTTGTCACTTCATTCGAGCTCCGCGGTTAAAGAAATTTCGTCACTGCTGAATAGGAAGGAAGCACTTGATGCTTACGACTAGATTTCAAACGTCTTGCATGCTATTTATTTGAGCTATTTAGCGGAGGATCCCATCCCTTCCCTGCGCTGTAAATCCCTGCTATTATGTTGTAATAATATTCCGATAAAATGAACATTTGTTGTTACTGTCCCTTTAATCACTTGCATGCACAAAAAGCTCAGAAAGATTAAAATTAGCACCAAGACCATGGCCATGAAGACATAAAAGTAATGCAAAACTATATTATTTCAGCATGTCCTCACCATGTTAAAATTGTTTTTCGCTAGAAATGAGAAATTAGATTCACTGGTGCTTTTAAAAAATTTCATTTAACTGGCCAGAAAACACGGAAAATATACTTGAATTAAAGGCCACGAATCTAATATATTGAAGATTGTCACATGCTATTTACCAGGCCCTATCCGAGGCTATACCTCTGTTAGTGGAGATAAGTCAACCTCGGTCCTTTTTCCGTAGTTCCTCCGTTTCAAATACAACAACTACTCCAAATTAATTCATAATGGCTTTATGTCTATGATATACCTACTCGCAAGGACAACGAAGATATAAATTCAAAGAAAATCTACATTTAAAGTTTTTTTTCGTACTTTACAAACATGCAATTATGAGCAACTATAAATCTGCTCAAATGATGCTGTCGCACCTCAACGCATTATTATCGACTCCAAGCTCAAGAACTGTATTTTCCCTTAGATCTCTCGCAAATAAGTCTTCGGCCGCTACCTTGCTTCTTGCTACTGGTTCTTGCTGTATCAGTCGCCTTCTTCTGGTATTCATATTCTAATTTACATTAGATCTGCGATAGCTGGTAGCTCGCAGTCGACTAATGTGTCATAGATTTCTCCGACACTCAGGTGGCGATGCTTTCCCACAGCGCTAAGGACAACGTCAGAAGGATTCGTAACTCTCTTGTCTAGAAAGCGAATCTGGATTTGGGATAAACCCAGCCTTTCTGCCAACAGTTTCCACTCGTCTCCACCTACGTAGAAAAACATATTATGCTCTTTTATAAACTGTGTTACAATTGAAAAACAGAACTTTGACCTGTAGACCGTATAGTTGAATGACTTAAATTGCTCACATTTTCTTGGCGCCCGATATCCTCCAAATTTCGTCTAAATTATTGTCAGCTCATCCTTCTGGAAAGGGTTTTGACGAAAGCGGACGAAATTTAGCTAACTGTAAAATAATCTAGCCAGAATTTAATCTGAAAACGCATCTGCAGAATCGAATCTTGCCCGAGTTTTTTAGAGAGTCCTTTTCAGAGACGAGAGACAACAACCTATGAATTCAATCAAAGATTAAAACAAGTTTATGAATAAATTGGTGTGCGGACGCCAACCTTATTCCTTACCCGAGAGGCTGAACGTTAACTCCTCGTATTGTTTATATGGCATGCAACCAACTGACATATCCTCATTCAACAACGGTCCTGTAGAGACAAACAAACAGAAAAAGAAGATAAATATAGCTGAATTTATTTTAGAATACTTAAAACAAAGACAAAAAATATACATATTAAAGCAGATCAAGAGGGCATTAACAGCAAATACAACTTCACAATAAAATCAAGCTCACGTCGACATTAATTTAATGGTGCATAGAGAGGACGCTTATGTGAGAACTTCTTTATATCTTAGAAACCTATCCCCTCTCCCCAGTGTGCAAAAAAATTTCATCTTCTCAAACTCACCAGTAGTACCAGCAGGTGTAATATATCGTAAGTGTCTCACCAAATCATCCCGTTTCTCAGATTTAGCTCTCAGGGCGAGGTCACGAATCATACTTTTCGTCTCAGGCTCTGGAATGGCCATAGATGTTGCTTTCAACTGCAGAGCTTCTTGAAACTGAATCACAATATCCTTAACATCACTTCCTGAGTTGAGTGGAATGGACTGGATGGAGGTTTTGATACTATCGGGCAGCGCAAGATCTTCCCGTTTCTTTCCTTGAAAAGGATTTAGAACGAATTGAAATAACGAAAAACGAAATTAAATGAAATAAGAGAAAGTTAAGTAGACGGAATGTATTTTGCTGACACCCAAATATTTTGAGTTGGTTCAAAGTCTGTTCCAGGAGAAACAATGGTATTAATAAAATTGCTCCTAAAATTATACGAGAAGGGATCTTGTTGGCTCTTTCTTTAGGTACGACATTGTTATTATGATATAATGACATGAAAGATAGCTACCTTTACCTTCTATGGAAAATATGCCTTTTGCACCGAGGTAACCTCCATGACTTGTTGTGTGAAGAGCTTGCACCTGCTAAGAAAACAAATTAAATCCACTTTTAAACCAGTTTATAAAAATATCATTGAACCTAAAAAGTATTAGCGTCTCATCAAACTAAGGAAGAGGATGGGACTGACAACGTACCTGATTCGTGGGTATTCCAGCATCCTCCCCTTCTTCTCCGCCTGAGAACCAGCATTCAAACTGCTTGACCCGAATCCTGCGATCCCCGAGAAGGCTGCGTCCTTGTCTGGTACAATGTTGACGCTGTCTCAAATCAGATTCTGACAAGAAGTGTAGACACTCACATCCACGCACGTCATGATCGCGGCATTTTACCGACCCTGGTCGAGAACAGACTGGGCAGCAGACACACATATCATACTTCACGTTGTTGAGCCAGTGAAACTCTTTCCGCATGCATTCGAGTATAAACCTCAATTTCCAGTGAACAGCACGGGAGATATCGGCTCTTTTCTCGTCATTGCCTCCGCTGTAAACGGCGACTTCAATGGCTGTGGAATGGCACCAAAAAATAACGGAGATACCTTGGTCTGGAAGAATGTGAAACATGGAAAAATTATGAAACAACTCTGGGTTCACTTTGCTCTTCCATTCTTCACCACACCACTGGAGGAAATGAAGGATAAGTCGGGAGAATAGACCAGGAGGCACTCGACCTGATGCAAATGTTACAAAAAGAGATGGAAAGTTTACAGAGTCGAGAAGCTGTAGGACGTCATCTGTTGGGGGTGACATTAACATGGACGGTACAAGGTACTGCTTGCTGTCTTTAGATGACGGCCAGGGGGAAATCAAGCTTAATCTCTCCATGATGGCAATGAGGCTCTTGTGACTTTCTTGGTTGTCGAGCAAGTCTCTCCAAGCATGGTCAATGAGCTTTTCATCCAAGATTCCGGTTTCTTCAAGTTGTATCCACAGGTCTTTGACAGGATGCTCCGTGTGTTTAAAACGTCTTACAGTGATTACGTTTTTGAGGACATCAACAAGCCACTGAGGATCTAATATCACCATCCTTTCCAACTCTGGAGAGCCACTAAAATGAATCACAATTCTCTGATCATGCAAAAAGTTCAACAAAGTGGAAAACTCATCATCTTCTTGGATCCCGCAGTCTTCAAATGCAATCCACTTGGCTTCTTCACGTGTTATCCACTTGTCATGCTTTTTGCGAAGCTTGTTTTCATACCTCAACCACTTCACCGGAACTTCTTCTTTCGTCAGCTGCAGTTCCTTTGCAACAGCAAGGATCTCTTCTCTCAGTCGCTTAACTTCGATACATTCTTCCTCACTACCAGACTTTGTATTATCCACGACGAAAACATCTTTATACAGATGTTCCTTGTAGATCTTGCACTGCAAAAAGCCATACGTTTTTAGAGCAAGGTCTCTGGCGTTAGATCCACCAAACGGCACATCAGCATGGGTGCATACCAGGAATACTGGGGGAAGCCTCCATGGCAAAACATGGCTAACATTCGAAGCGGTCTCTTGGGTGCTGGAATTTTCATCCGGACCTACCAAGGAATAAATTGATGACATCCAAAAGTCCAGATAATCAAGGTTCGTTTTACTGCAGTCAATGTCCACTTTGTTCTCGAAAAGTCCTGTTTTGACAGGCGGGATGGCTTTCTCGTCTGGATCACGACTCAAATCAGACACCAAAATATAGATAGCTTTTTCCGTGAGGAAAATTGGATGGGTTTCGTAGTACACTGATTGTCCAGCAAAATCCCACAGAACTGAGTAGATGTTATCTTCGTGGTTTGCACTTTTCTCCTCTTGAAGCATATTTTCAACCAGCCTGGCCACTTCCTCGGGCAATTTTCTGTGTAAGGACTTGATATTTCTTGAGAGCTTAGTTGGGCCTCGAGTTGATATTGATCCATCCGGAGCCTCAAACTCTGACTTTGAATCTGACTCTGAGTCAGAATCCAACTTTAACGAAAACCGAACTGGAGTTGCCCTTTGTTCCCTTAAAAATTCAATGATCACTTTCGCTGTTGCTATGTGTTCAAGATCATCTTCTGATTCAAATTGTACTTCTTCCTTCACTTTTCCGCTTTTCCAAATCTCTTTTGATACTTTAAAGTACGAAGAGTCAGTCTCTATTCCGACTGTGCTTTCCTCTTTTTCGTTAAAATTTTCTCCTTTTAAGGACTTTTTTAAACTAGTTTTTCCTGTCCGCTCCTGTCCGATCAACATCACTGGTATTCTCTTGATGCAGGCCTTTCCCCCCGTTAAGGCTTTGTCATATGCCTTAACAGCTTGAGGACCTCGAGCATAAATTTCCAAAGGGACTAAGGATGCAATTTTTAAATTATGCGTTAGCAGGTATAATAACCTGTGGCTGTCTTATGTAAGTTGAAGAGGGGTAGGTTGTGTTGAAAATATAATGCTATTCTCTCTTCTGATGGTGTTTGTTCTCTGTCCTAAGAGAGTCATGTACTGAGATATTTCTCATACGTATATGTATACTTGCAAATATTAAAAAATGGTAATTAGTGCAACATAGCGATTATAAGTGTTAACTTACAACGAAGTTGAGGTCCACAAAAACGTAAAGAAAACAAAATGAGGCTAACTTTCAGCGATCTAGATCGAACAACTTCGGTCAATAAAAGCTATTTGTGATTCCATCGCCAACATTGTCCGAAAATAACGACCTTTGTTCATTCCGCTCCACGCAAATTTCTCATTGCGTGGGATCAAAGCGGGTGATCCCGCTCAGATAGCCAATCAGAATGAAGAATTAGCTTCATATTGACTTCGGGCGCTTCCGGTGTATAATTAAAAATGAACTTACTTTTAAGTCAGATTCTGCTGAAGTTAAGAAACGACCTGATTGCGCTAATGTGTAATGTATACATAAGTGTATACATAAATCAAAGTTAACAGAAACAAATGTAAGGGTTATTTGTCGCAGAAATGTCTGATAAAGCAGCAGCTTCATCTTCCCTGCAATAACAAAACTAAAGAATCCGATGGTAATTGGCGGGTTTCCGAGCCGACTACAGCTCAGTAATTTAAACAGTAATTTATGTCTAAATTTTATAGGCCTTAGAAACCAGGCAAGGGGACGATTCGATTGAGACGTTGGGCAACTAAATTTCTCTTTTATTCCAAGCTTTCGACTGCGGGCGCTTCCAGTGTATAATTAAGACTGAGTTTACTTTTAAGTCAGATTTGGTTGAAGTTAAGAAACGACCTGATTGCGCTAACAATACTATTTAATCAGTCTCAGCGTTATATTTCCCATGACTGTCATCGGGTAACGTTTGACCGTTAATAGCTGGTTCACACAGATATGAGCCGTTAAAGCCTAATCAGTTTAGTTCTATCTATAGAGGGTATTACAGAGATGCACATCTTGCAGTCGGGGAACGATTCAGCTTTATTTCTTAGCGTTAAGCTGCGTTATTCCAATGTGTTTTCGTTTTGTTGTTGCCGTTGTTGTAAATTTATAATATGATGCTTAATTAAGATTAAATCAATAGAATGTGCTATTATTAAATAAAGGAATTGAAACTCAATGTATTCTTGAGTATATTTTCTATTATCAAACATACACACATATCCAACGTGTAGTGTATAAAGTAAATAATGAAACACGGTCAAAATAAATAGATAACAAATAAATTACCTTCTCGCCTCTCTTTCCTCTCTAAAATAAAAACAAAAGGACTAATTACGATATGGTTTGCAAAATCATCCCAATCCCTCAATGCAATTATGTAGAGAACCTACACATTTGGTGGCTTAAAGAGTGCATAATTTTTTCCAAGCATTGACCCCCGCGAGGTGTTGCTATATTGCAAGACTAATTTACCTAATCAAAAAATTAAAGTATTTTCCTAACTCCAAGAGTGTACTGTACACATAAATAAAAGTCGACGGAAACAAATGCAAGGGTTAGTTATCGCAGAAATGTCTGATAGAGCAGCAGGTTCATCTTTCTTGCAACAACAAAACTAAAAAATTCTATGGTAAGTGGAAATCCGGGGCCAATTACAGCTCAAATGGGCTCACAGCGAAAAAGTAATTTACGTCTAAATTTTATAGGCCTTAGAAACCAGGCAAACGGACGATTCGATTGAGGCATCGGGCAACTGAATTTCTCTTTTATTCCAAGCTTTCGCCGATCTACCGCATCGTCTGGGAATGTTAAGAAAATAGAAAATTGTTTACATTCCTGTACGATGCCGTAGATCTACAATAGCATGGAATAAAAAAAGAAATACAACAGCTCAAGGCCTGTTATACATTTATACTAAGATGCTTCAATCAGTCTAACATAATAGAATGTGCTCTAAAAAAATGAAGTAAAAAATACTGAGCGTTTAGCTGAGTATATTTGCCTTTATCAAACATATATACATATCTAATGTTTACTACAAAGCGTGAATATTGAAACACCGTCAAAGTAAAAGTTACTAAGATTCATTATCATAGGTAGCTAAAAAACGATCTCATCCCCATCCCTAGATGAAATGATGTAGAGAACCAACAGATCTGGTGGCTTAAGAGTGCATATTTTTTTCCAAGCATTGACCCCCGTAAGGTGTTGCTATGATGCAAGACTAATTTACTAAAAAAGCAAAATTATTTCCTGACTCCAAGTGTGTATTCGATACATAAGTTAAAGTTGACAGAAACAAATACAAAAGTTATTTATCGCAGAAAATGTCTGATGAAGCGGCGCGGTTGTCGTTGTTGTTTTTCTTTATGAGATTGCTTGTTCACGAAGTTTCTTTTTCTTCTGAAATCACAGTCCAAAGTGCAAGCGAAATGCGAGCCTCGAAAACCAAAACAAGAAAAAAAAAACTACTACAAAACAATCAAGCTGTTAACAGGCTAGTATTTGTTACTTATTTCTTTATGTTTTTCTCTTGGTATTTTTGTTTGTTTTCTCCCTTTTATACTTCGCCTACAGTGTGTAACTTGTAAGACTATATGGAAATTGAGAACTACAAAGATTTAGTAACACGGCCAACTATTTTTACGTTTTTTTCAGACGCTGCAAGGCAAGCAAAATGAGGAATACTACAAAGTGAGATATAATCATATCAGTCCCCTTTTGATTTTGATGAGAATATACTCGTGGATAAGAAAACCTCACTGATTACTTACGTGTAAAAGAGGAGGAATTATGGAAACAGCTTTTCGCTCTGGTTGTCTCTCAAAGAAATGAAGGTTTACTCTGAATAAATCATGACATGTCTTGAAGTGAAGTGTTTCTGAATATTCAAAGAAGGGCTATATTTTGTCGCACCGGCGACGAGAATCAAATTAACAACTGAAAATGCTCTCCGATACAGTACACCAAAATGTCCAATAATAATTTTTCCGATCCAAAGCTTTCACTTAGAAAAACTCTTAAAGTCTCAAGTAATAATTAAGGGTAACTTCCGCGAAAAAAGGTTGTCGACACTTGCCTCGCAAACCTTTCTTATTTTGCTTCAAAAATCTATATAAATAACCCTCAATAACTTTGATGTACATTCCGATTAAAATTGGTGGAAGACTTAGCGATGAAAAGTTCAGACGAATTTTGATTACATTCGGGAAAAGCGAAGTAAACTAGATCGATGTCAATTTTAAAGGCTACACGAAGGCGACTGTTTCATCAGGGTTTCCAAACACGAGGAAACTGATGAATGAACGAGGCAACGGGCCGAGTGCTTTTATCATATTCGAGTGTTTCGAAACCCTGATGACACACGAAGCCCGAGTTTATGAAATTGCTTCTCCAAAGGGTCTAATTTATCAGCAATAAACACAAAAGCAAAACAAAGATCATGCTTGTACCTAGTTTTTTCTTTCTTTTGTTTCATTAAACTGTTGAAACATAAACAGATTTGCTAGTCAGTGTGATGAACGATGTTTATGTGCTTTTTACAAGTGCGGCTTTTAAATGAAGGCAGTCGCACTTTGCGTTGACCTCCTCTGTTGCAATATGAAAAGTGGAAGAAGCAGCTACGCGGGGATAAGTCTTCCAAGTTTCGACCCCCAAAAGTAGCTAAAAAAGAAGTTTCTTTGCTCGAACTTTCGAAATACAAAAGTACAGTACAAAGAGAAGTGGGCTGTTGATGTTTCCCGAAGTTGCCAAGCTGCACGCGAATAAAATCATATCCTTTGAGCCAGCCGGGGAGTGTATTTAAAGTGTGCAAAGTCTTGAAGAAAGGTTGAATGACCTGCATAGCCTCTCCCTAAACTTCTGCCTAACAAAGTTCGTCCGAAAAAAATCGAACGAGTATTTGTTCAAGTATTGCATTCCTTTGCTAATTGATTTCCAAACGCACGTGCTTGGATATCCTAAAACGTATTTTTGGATATATAAAATATTTATATGAACTTAATCACGTTCCCTATTGCTATTTTTTAGCAATATTTACTTATTCATTTGCCAATCACCGTTGTCGTATAGAACGCCTTTTTCAACGTCATTGTAAATTATGTTACATTGTCAATATATGAAACTTGCTGATAAAAAAAAGTAAAAAAAAAAAAAAAAAAAGAAGTAATTATGAATAAGAGTGATAAACCACCGCACTTATCTATTGAATTTGCGGAGACCATTATATCTATCGATGAATATCTATTTACAGGATGTAGAACAGGCATAAAGAGAGATATATCAAAGATCGACTTTTGTAAAGTCCACAGAATCCCCTCGTCTCTTTCAAATTCGTAAGAGTGCAAATTTAGGCTTTTTTCAATCAACCAATTTTATCTGCGAGATTCATCTAACGAGGGAGGTCAGTTGTAAACACTAAAAGAAATTTCATGCAGAACAAATGCTCCACCCAGATGAAATACAGTGTCAGCACTGGCTAGAATTACACGGCTGGATGCACCTCGTTTTAGGCGCTTATATATTGTGACAGTGCCTGTTTTATGCCCCAATTTCAGTATGATCGCTTTTTTTCTAGTCACGAAATAAGGCGGCTCCTATATTTTGAAGTTCGTAGTAAATTATACATAGTCTTTACAGGAAAATATATTTTGTAAATTTTGATTTACTACGGTCCTGCCGAAAACGACTGCAGTCGAAAAAATATAACAGACTTTTTTGCGAAATTTTCAAGACAACGAGCTCTGGGGAAATTGCTATGACATTAAAGGAACTGCGATAACTTTCAGTCCGTGAAACTGTCAATATATCCAACTTGTATTCCAACTGAAAGTAAAGAAAGGAAAAAGCGTATCAACCGTCACGCTACTTAAGCAATAAACCATAATTACTATCGGTTTACCTGCCCAGTAAACCACTTGGGAAATGTTAGGAGAACACGAAAAAAGTTGTTGAACCACAAGCTGGAGACAAAAGTATAAAATAGG